GCCACCAATGGCTTCCTCTTGCTTGGATATGAAGTTCTGTATGGGTCTCGCAGCTCGATCATCGTGTTCAACGTCGATTCGCCAGCAAATTCTTTCCCGCCATGGTAGCAGTTCAAAAACTCAGCACTTGAATTTGATTCGGGCATTTTATTCAAGCTTTGCTAGCCTAATTGGATCATTCCTACAGCTTCCAGGTATTGTCCCCAACAGTTCTGCACTCGCCATTTGTGTCGAACCATTCTCATTCATTCCAACCAATAGATCCAATTTTGAGACGAGTTTGGTTGTTTCCGGAGCACTTTCGGCTCGAATCGGATTCTGCAATCCAGTTGTTTTTTACCCAATCAGATGGTTGGTGAAGCTTCCCTGTGGCCCATGGATTGTGCCGATGTCCTCATTTGGGTTTGGGTTGATCTCCAGAGCTCCACCCAATTCACTCTCTTTCTTCTCCTACTTCGGCGACAACGAACAGACTCGCTTCATCCGTCAACATCGAGGCTTCCTCTCCCTTTTGTAAGTCGTTAGCATAAATTGATGGGTGATGAAATTAGCTTCCTTGGAAGCTTCCTTCTCTCTCTCACTGGAATTGTGGGCTTGCCGCCGTCGGTTGGCTTCCATCTGCGTGGTCGTCGCAAACTTCAGCCGACGTTAGAGGCTTAAATAGAAATTGTTGATTCCGATGCTTGAACTTATAGCAGTTGGTTCCTCCATAATGGCATACTCCTTGATCAAACTGCCAAGGTCGTCCAAGCAAAAGGTGTGCAGCTTGCATTGGAGCAGCGTCAAAGACAATTGCATCTTCATATTGGCCGACTTCAAATTTGATTTTGGCTTGCTTGTTGACTTTGACTGCACCGTAGTCGTTGAGCCAATGCAAAGTATAGAGCTCTAGATGTTTGGTAGTTGTAAGCCCGAGTTTCTTGATCACGTCAAAGCTCACGACATTAGCGCAACTTCCCCCGTCGATAACTAATGACAACACTTTGCCATTAACAGTACACCTCGAATGAAACAGGTTAGTTCTCTGTTCCGAGTTTGAATGAGCATCTATGGTGAGGGTTCTTCTATTGACGCGACTCAATTTCCCAGGCACAACTTCGGCTTCCATAGTTATCTCTTCATCATAATTCTTTTCCTCGTTAGTGAGGTACTCACCATCGCGAATTATCAAGGCCTTCAAGTTTGGACATTGGTTCGCCTTGTCTCCTCGACCATGACACTTAAAGCACTGGATTCCTCCAATTCTTTCGGTAGAAACTAGATTTGGGTTTTTGGGAACCAATCTAGCAGTTTCAGACTTTGTCAGAGGCGAATTGGCTTCTATACTGGCCTCTGCTACTGTCTTTACCGTCGAGGAAAAATGTTGGCGTGCAGCCATCTTCTGTTGTTTCTCGATCTTCACAGCGAGATGCACAACCTCCTCTAGGTCGATGAAGCTCCTCAGGTCCACCTCTTGGCGGATTTCACGATTTAGTCCGTGTAGAAATCATGAAATCGTCACCTTCCTGTCTTCACGTACGTCAGCCCTCATCATGAGCAGCTTGAGCTCTCGATAATAGTCTTCCACCCTCCTTGATCCTTGATGAACATTCTGGAAGGCGTCATGGACCTCTCTTAGGTAATATCTTGGGACGAATCTGTCCCTCATCAGACCTCGCAATTCATCCCATGTCGTCACCAACAGTTGCGTATTTCGTCGGTGACGAATCTAGAGCTGCTGCCACCATTGGGCGATATACTCGATGAATTCATAAGTAGCCAAAGCTATATTCAGTTGGTCTGTGTAACGGCCACACTAGAAAATAGGAGGATTTTTCGTTCCCAATCCAAATAAGTCATTGCATTCACAGTGCCCTTCAGCTTAATCCCAAGTGGGATACTAGCTCGTCGTCTCGATTCTCTCATCGATCTCGAGCATGACGATCACGGTTGGGCTCAAACATTGGTTCCCCTTCATGAGCTCTGTTTTCCGGCCGAACGATTGCATCAATCCTTTGGTTGATTTCCTTCCTGAATTGGTTGAAGCTCGTGTCAAATTGTCGCATTAACTCCTCTATGACAACTTGTTGTTCCGCCATTGGGAAATCTTTTGTTGAGACTTCGACTTCAAGCTCTACCTCGTCCTCTGGTTTTCGGCATACAGCTTCAGGGTCATTGGAAACGGGACCCTTTGACCATGTCCAACACCATGTCCCAACAACGAGCTTCTCCATCATGTCTACTGTGCATGAACCGAGCTCTGATTACCACTTAATACACTCCAGATAGGGTTTGGAGTCAGAATTGCGCAACAATTGGGATTGAAAATTAATCCCTTTCAAAACAGGGTGTGTGTTGGATAGTTTTGCAGGTTTAGCTCTTTCGTGCAATTGCTCACAACGGCAAAGGCTCGAGAAGAACCAGATAAAGGATGGCCACGATCAAGAGGGATAAGCTTGATCGATACAGTGACGAGTACCCTAGAACTCATTCTAAGCAACTCCTAATCACAATACGAAACTTGTGAACCAAACTTGACGTTTGTCTTCGATTAAAACCAAAACTGAGTTTTACAACGCAATTGAATGACCTTAAATAGACCTAGGCTAGCTAACAAACTATTACGGAAGTTCAATCTACAAACAATCAAGGAAATCGAACTTAAAACAGAAAAGGTAAAAACTCCAGTCGCAATCCTAATTCGAATAGGATTCAGATTCTTGATCAAGCAAGACAGTTTCCTTCTGGCTTGAAACGATCTTGATGGCCTTCGTTCGAAGTACTCCAAGCTTTTTTCAAGTCATCCAATTCCACGATGTTGCATTATGAAAGGCCTAGTTTCATGGGACAACAACCTTGCAACTCTAACCTGGCTCAACATCCTCGAAATGAAGCACAAAGTCAGCTTCATGAACTCGTTTCCAGACTTTGGCAATTTTGGCAGTTTTACCTGTGTTGAGCAAACACTTTGATCGACCTGGAAAACAACCTTTTAGGCTACCTTTTGACTAGGGTGGCTATACGGTCTCGTTCGGTTAAATTTGCCTGAATTGATCCGGTCCTTGTGCGGTCTTTTCGGGAATATAATGACCAAAAATTGGATTAGATACAGTTCGGTCTTGATACGGTCCGTTTTGACCTGGTCCGGTCCCAATTCGGTCTTGATTTTAGATTGAACTTGTGGGGATTTGAGTGGCCTGAGGACTCAAAGAGTGAGGAGTTGGTTAAGTTTTGGGTGTTGGGTTCTCTTATCCGGTCTTTATCCAGTTTTTTATCCGGTCCCAAAAGGTTTTTTACCTGAAATCTAAGCCCGAAGATTGGATTGGATTATTTGCTATCCGGTTCCGGTCCCGATCCGGGTTATACGGTCCGGTTTTGGGTAAAAATAAATAATCCGGACCAAATAGACAGCCCTACTTTTGAGCTCCAAAATATGTCGATGGAAAGAAAAACTCTTCTTCTTCAATACAAGCCCTTGAAGTCGAATTTTCACCAAGCCAATCACGAGTTGCACACGTCCAAAGTTGGCCACCTGAAATTATTAAAAAAACTTAACCAAAAGTTAGTGTTGTTCAATGCTCTTGTGTTGCCTTTTCGATCAATCGATACCAGTCTGGCTAATGGCCAATTTGAGATCATATCAGTATGAAAAGCGAACTATGGCGGTATGGACATAGCAAGACAGTAGGATGGTTGAATACATGATAGTAGGAGTATACTAACTATCATTTACGAATTTCAACATTGTGTACCACAAGATATCACCCCGTACCAGGGTGGTATTGTATGGTATTTTTTGGTCATGTATTTTGTTCACCCAAAAATTTGTAGATCCAATAGATCATGACGAACTCGTTCCATTTGTGCAAAAAATTTCAAAAACGGCTTCAAAACGAAGAATATATACCATATGGTATGCAGTTGGTAACGAGAGACAAGAAGTTTTTTTTTCGCAAAAAATGATTGAAAATGAATCTCATTTTTTAGAGCACAACAAACTCGTTCCATCTGTGCAAAAAAAAAAAAAAAAAAAAAAAACGAGTTAAAACGAATAAGATATGAGTCGATTAAGACAACAAATAAAAATTAAAATGCATTTAATTCTCCACCCTTAGATCTGGATTTTCTGAATGAAGGGTCCATATTTAGTAACTCAACGGTGCATAACTCTCTTGAGTCGCAGCTTTAGATGTTCGCATCTAATCAATAACCAATAGTTATTAAACCATGCAAAAAGTCATTATAGTTTAAAGGGATATTTCTTTTCATATTAATTTCAAATCCAAACTTTCTAACACAGTAAAATCATATTAAACATGCTTTTAAAAATGATATTCACTTTAATATAATTAGAAATAGAAAATCGAGACTATATTTTACAACTACAATAATGTTGATAAAATTTAATAGTACATAATATTATACCATACTAGTATGTAAGCATATCATTGTGAAAGGAATATACTATAGTTGAATCCCTAATAATATGAATATAATAACTATCATCTACCACCTTTCACCACCCTCTACCATAATTTACCATTTTGATAAGGGTTAATACACTAGTTTGGCCCGAAGTTTAGCGTAAGTGACAGTTCTGGCTTCATTTTTCAAATAAGACATTTATGGCCTACTTTTGAAATTATTGGACAAATTTGGTGTGAAACTTGTGTTGACTGTTAATATTAACAGTCAAACATTTATTCCGTCAATGACTCAGCATCTAGTGCTGAGGTGGCATCCATGTCACTTATTAATTAAAAATGAAAAATGAAACAAAAATTAAATAAATTAAATCCTAAAAAAACCCTACCTCCCTCTTCTTCTAAACTGATTCCTTCAAAGCTCCAACGTTGTTTGGAAGGCTTTCCTCCCCCACCCTGCGCAATACATTTGTCACCGCCACAACGCTGAAAACCTCCTCGCCACAACCAATCTAGCCCTTCCCACCCCTACCTACCCCACTACGAAGGCCACAAGATGTCTCCAGACCAAGAAACAAATCGAAGAGCCTTCTTCTCGGTTCTTCTACAGAGATCGTTGGGCGACTGGCATTTCTAGACGTTGGCGCTTGGGTTCTTCCTTTCTTTTCGAAGGATCTGGGTTCATCGGATCTTGCCTTCCCAGCAGATTACTGCCAGAGCAAGGAAAGAAATGCAAGAGAGTAGGCTTCTGGTTTCGTCAATCGCAGAACCCTCCATAATCCCGATTCCTTTCTCTGCCGGACCCAGAGCAAGAGAGTATGCATCGTTGTTCTTCTGGTTTTTGTATTTCCAACCCAGAACCCTCCATAATCTCGATTCCTTCCTTTGTCGGATCCAGAGCAAGAAGAAAGACCACCGAGCTCCATCATCATCGTCAATAGTCATCTTCAATCATCAATCGCCATTGTCAATATTCATCTTCCCATCGGTGGCCCCTGCATCTGTCATCTTCAATCGTCAATCGCCCGTGAGTATACTATCGGAAAGAAGATTAGGGATTTTACCGGCGAGGGTGATAGTTGCTTATGAGAGTCAAGAGAGAAAAAATTTAGGGATTTTGACCGAAATTACTTTGTGGTTTTGAATTTTTTTGAATTTGTTGCTTTGTTTCATTTTGTTTTCAATTTTTTTCAGAAAAGTAAATAAATAATTATTTAATGACGTGGCCCAGCCACATCAGCAATTTTTATTGAGTCATTAACGGTTAAAATGTTTGACCGTCAGGTTTAACGGTCAACCCAAACGTCGGGCCAAATCTGTCCAATAATTTCAAAAGTAGACCATAAATGTCTTATTTAAAAAATGGAACCATAACTGTCACTTACGCTAAACTTCGGGCCAAACTAGGTATTAACCCTTTTAATAAAGAGTGATAACAAGTGGTATATTTGGTCAAATGTTTTCCATAAATATATAAGTTTTTGTATATCACAATATATCCATATGTATGCCAAATTTATGAAAATTTAATTTGAAGATGAAGGTGGTAAAGGATGGTGCATACCAGTAACGGGTAGCCCAAAAGTTTTCTAAAAAATTAACAAAATGGATATAGTTTTGTTAGATAACAATAACCCATGATTTTTGTGCAATATTTTCCAAAATTCCAGTTAAAGCTAGAAAGATAAAAATCGATTGAAAATTAGGAAAATTAAAGTCTTTTTTTTAATCTCAACCCTTGTATTTAACCTCATTCAAAATTTAGGAGAGCAAAGCTGATAAAACAGAAGGGAGCAGGAGATCTTCAGCTCGGATGAGGGGCCGGCTTTTGGGGTGTGCGGGGAGGCCCTACCGCAGAGGACGTCCAAATTATATGAGCTACCTTAGTTTCGAGTATATGTTATATGTATATAGCAAATTATTACTAGAGTAAATACAATATATTAATCAAATTTTGCAAAACTTTCTTTTCAAAATACAAATAATTAGTCAAATATTTTGTAAAATATAAAAATAATAGTCATTTGTCTGTTACTATCAATAATTTTGAAACTCTCTTTTTAATCAAAATACTAAAATGTTCGAATGTTAACCGCCGCGTGTCCCTTCTAACTCAACATCAAGTTATCAAGTAAGCTACATGAGAGAAAACTTTTGTTTTGATTTTTTTATTCCGTCACGTATTTCCATTTAATTGATTATGTATCCATTTAGTTATATTTGGGTTCCTTTATTTTGATTTGTTTTTATTGTAAATAATATTAGATATATATTATTTATAAATTATTGTATAATAATTTTTTATTAATATCTTATTTAACTTCGGAGTTGAAAGTCGGCTCTGCTCGGAAGATACCCTCGGCGAGGATGAATCGGAAATTTCGACGGCGAATTTGGGCAAGAGTGAGGAACATCGCAGCTTCATCTCGGTTTGTTCCCTTCCCTTGTCCTTTAAAAAATGGGCATATTGTATGTAGCACAAGTCACATTATACTGAAAACTTAACAATTCTTTCTTAAAACGTAATCAACTTACTCAATTTACACGCTATTTATCCCAAAAAGTTAAAACTTTGATGATTTTTCCCAAGGTAGACATTCCTGCCTGTCAAGAACTCTAACTACTTTTTTTTATTCCTAAAAGGTTAAAGACGCAATTATTTCTTAAAACGTAATCAACTTCCTCATTTAAACTCTATTAATACCAAAATGTTAATGCTTGATGATTTTTCCCAAGTTAGACATTCCTGCATGTCAGCAACTCTTAACTTCTTTATTCCCAAAAGACGACCACATGACTCAAAAGTATAGGGTAATTAACACAAAAGGTCACAAACCTTTACACTTAGTACAAAACGGTCACAAATCTTTGATTGGTAAAAAATTGGTAACAAACATTTGAGCAAATATCAAAATGGTAATTCCGTCACTCCCCGTCCAAATTTCCGTCTCCCTTGCCTAATCAGCATTCCACATCATCAAAATTAATAATAAACAAATTCAAAATGTTAATTAAAAAAATTTACCCTAACCCAACCCACCCAAACGATAAGACCTCGACTGATCCACCCCGCCACAGGCTCACGTCTCCTTCTTCCTTTCCACCTCATCCTCCCCATCTTCGCCGGTCACGACGCTGCGGCGATTCCCTGGTGGGAGTTGGTTTTGGCGGCGTCCCCTAGCACTGTCTGCTTCAACTCGTCACCACTCCCGCCGTTCCCTTTCCTCGGCCCATGATCGTCCATCGCCGCAGGTCGCCATCCAAACTCCTCTGTCCAGCATCCCCACCGAGAAAAGACGTACAACGAGGCAAATAACGACCGACAGTCGCCGCCGCGCTGATGCCCCTGCTCGACAAGAGTGAGAGAGAGAGAGGCAAACCAAAGGTAGCAGAGGCGATGAGACGGAGATGAGATGCATTTAGTCGAGTCTCATTTCCCCATTGTTTTCCCTTCCTCTTCCAGACCTAGGATTGAATTGGTCGGGATTATTATCAATAAGTAAGGTGGAGTTGTAGAGGGATTCATGCGAAACAGAAATTAGGGTTCGTTTACTGGGAGAGGCGGGTTGGAAGAAAGCTTTGGGCTTGCTAGCTCAATTTAGCCTCCCCATGTTGACGGGAATGGGCGATGAAGAAGAATGAGGGTAAGAGAGGTGTTGTGTCATGCGGCGACGGGATGAATGTCGGCGGCGATTGGGGGGGGGGGTTGAAGAAGATGTTCATGTTGCGGGAGTGGTGGAATTGGGTTTGACCGACTTTTTAGCAATTTTTGACCGGTCTGAATAATTGTTGGTGTTAGATATTAAATTGGAGTTGTTTATTATTTGTTTTGATGAGGTGGAATGCTTACTAGATAAATTTAGCGGAAATTCGGATGGAGAGTAACAGAAGTGATCATTTTATACAAGTTCAAATTTTTATGATCATATCGTTACAAATTAAAGATTTATAACCGTTTTATACTAAATACAAAGGTTTGTGACCGTTTATGATAACTACCAAAAGTACAATTCCCTGGAACAGAAAGCGTATTGCCGCAGTATAACGGTCACCTGCCTTTGTTTTCTTCTTCTAACGACATACCCAACCCAACAAGAGTACAGTACATGCAATTTAATATTATTTAAAAATTACACATCTTCTAATCCTTTGAAGTTCTTCTATACTTCTTCATTTGCTTTATCAGTGGCCGATTTAGATCCTCATCTTAACCGCATTAATGTAAATCTCACTTTTAGTCTTGTAAATGGGTACACTTCCTTTTTAATATAATTTCAACTTTCACTGATGGAAAATAAATCTTGACCTCATAAAAATACTCTATGCATCACATCTCTTCATTCTGTATCAAACATGTGCATTGTGCATGTATCGTTCGTTTGTAAACTGCAATTGTATTAGATTGTTTTATCTCGATTTTTAACTTATATGACATACATAATTACACAGACCAAAAGCTAGTGGTAGATCTAAAGGCTGGCGACCCCGGGCCACAACCATGTCCGTCACGAAGTCCAAAGCTAGTATATAACTTATTTTAAGTTTAGGTATTCGACTCAGTGCTATTCAAATGCGATTCAGTGTTGTACTATGCCCCGCATCCGCCGCTACCAAACATTGTATTTTACATGCACTGATTTTGATAATATATGTAAATTATTATATATGTATTTTTCTATCTGACCATCGTAACTTCCAAATCAACTATTATAAGTTTGGATAAGTGTTTCATTCAATAAAATAAAAATTAATTATCATTCAGACACCTTCAACACAACAATAGTGGTCAAGACTCAAGAGAGCTTCTCAGTTTTTTATGTTGTGATGAAATTTTTTATTATCCATAATAAAGGTGGTACAAAGAAATGATTCTACAATAAAAGACAAGCCATGCAAAAGGATGGAAAAAGCAAGCATGATTGAGACAAGAGAAAACACAAACCCAACGGGAAGAGGAAACCCAAATGCGGCTTCTCTTTTGAATTAGAATCTTTCGGCTCAAGATAGGGTGCATAACCATGGGTTATGCACCCATCAATAACCAAATCTGGACCCTTCATTTAGAAAATCCAGATCTAAGGATGGAGAATTAAAGACTATTTTTATTTTCACTAGCTTTCTTAATTGACTCATATCTTTTTCGTTTTAACTCGGATTTTAATTTTTTTTGCACAGATGGAACGAGTTCACCATGCTCTACAAAATGAGATCAATTTTCAATATTTTTTGAGGAAAAAAAATTCTGTCCTCTCGGTACCAACTGCATACCATATGGTATTTTCTTCGTTTTTAATTCGTTTTTGAAAACGTTTGCACAGCAGGGACGAGTTCATCATGATCTACTGGATCTACAAATTTCTGGGTGAACAAAATACAGGACCAAAAAATACCACACAATACCATACAATACCACCCTGGTACGGGGTGGTATTGTATGGTATCTTGTTCGTTTTTAATTCGTTTTTGAAAACGTTTGCACAGAAGGGACGAGTTCATCATGATCTATTGGATCTACAAATTTCTGGGTGAACAAATTACAGGATCAAAAAATACCACACAATACCATACAATACCACCCTGGTACGAGGTGGTATTGTGTGGTATACAATGTTAAAAGTAGTAAATTACAATTAATATACTTCTACTATCATGTATTCAACCATCCTACAGTATTGGTTTGTTCATACCACCATGGTACGTTTTTCAAAACATAGGTATGCTTTTATTTCAATACCAGTCAATACCATATGGTATAGGCTGGTAAAAAATGGCTCAATTTTTTTTGTTCGAAAAATATATTAAAGTGGATATCATTTTGAAGAGCACAATTAATCTGATCTAACTGTGCAAAAAAAATTAAATTTCGACTTAAAATGAGCGAGAAATCGTCCGTCAAAGATTAAAGAGGGAAAAATTAAAGGCTTTCTATGAGAGAGAGGATGCTGATGTCATGCTGATGTGGACGGGTTACTCATAGTTACTCACCATAAGGTTACTGACCTAATCCATTCCCGAATCTTTCTATAGTGTCCGGCTGTCCGCCAAAAAAAAACTAACAATGGAGATCGGTGAGTTCCAGAGCTATTACAGTTCTTCTCTTAATCAATTAAAATCTGCCTAGAACCACACATCACCACTACTGATCCTTTATATATCAACCTTTTTATCAACTAATAATGAGTCAGTCTCCTCTTTCAGCTAATCCCCTATTAATCTAATCTTAGCCATCTTTAATTTGTCTTTGTAGTTATGGAGAGCCCACCCATCAGGTTTTCTAGCTGCAGAGGAGTCTCCTTCGAGATCAAGCCTCACGGCGATCCTTTTGCCATCCCCAAATCCGCAAAACAAGATGAGCCGAATTTCAGGCCCTTGTCCATTTCGTATTGGAATATGCTCCAACGCTCCTTCAGCAAGGCCGGCAGCAGCAGCCACTTCTGCGACCTCGACCTCGAAATCCACGACCCAAGCTATTACGTCGTGGATGAAGAGCTCGTCGATGTCGTCGTCACTGATCGAAAGCTGCCGAGGAAAAGCAAGAAACCGTCGCGGCTTTCGGTCATACTGCTGGACCAAGGGCTGTTCACGGTTTACAAGATGCTATTCATGTTTTGCTTTGCGCTAAACGTCGTCGGATTGGTCCTGGCTGCGACGGGTCATTTCCCTTGCGCGAGGAACAGAGCAGCTCTGTTTTCGATCGCGAATATTTTCTTGCTCACGCTCTGTCGGAGCGAGGCCCTTCTGCGGGCCGTTTTTTGGGCCGCGGTGAAGATACTGGGCCGCTCGTGGGTCCCGATCCGTATCAAGACGGCCGCCACGTCACTCCTGCAAAGCCTTGGTGGGATCCACAGCGGGTGCGGGGTGTCTTCCGTTGCGTGGCTAATTTACAGTTTGGTCCTCACTCTTAACGACTGGCCACATACATCCTTCGAGATCGTGGCCGTGGCCTCTGCGATCCTTTCGTTCATCTCTTTCTCTTGCCTCGCTGCGTTCCCTGTCCTTAGACATTTACATCACAACGTCTTCGAGAGGATCCACAGATTTGCTGGGTGGGCCGCCCTGGGGCTTCTTTGGGCTTTCGTGATTCTAACAACCTCGCACGATTCGAAAACGGCGTCGTATAATTTCCAAGACGGCATAGCATTGAAGCTGGTCAAATCACAAGAATTTTGGTTCACAGTCGCCATCACCGTGCTAATTATACTCCCCTGGCTAACGTTGCGAAAAGTGGCGGTCAATTTGTCGTCTCCGTCGGACCACGCCTCTATAGTCAGATTCGCGGGAGGGGTTAAACCGGGGATTCTGGGTCGAATCAGCCCGTCCCCGTTGTCCGAGTGGCATGCCTTTGGGATCATTTCAGATGGA